GTCAGCTAATAAATGCCCCAGTATCATTTGGATAACTGCTGTGGAAAAGGGTGTCCTCGCAACTAGGGTCTGGAAATATGGTCCTCACAAGAATGCAGGGGTGCGTATGTGTGTGTGTGTGTGTGTGTGTGTGTGTGTGTACACTGTAATTTCTCGTGTTACCATAAACAAAATTGGATAAGGGAAGAGGAAAAACGGCCATTTTTGCCCAGATAAAAAAATTCGTATTTCTGTGGTACACGGATGCCTTCACAAGTTTTGTCCGAAGTTGTAACAACAAGGACGTCAGAGGAGCTTCTGATCGCAAGCTCATACGCAAGTTTTCTACTAGTCAATGTGTAGATGTTCAAAAACGTGTACACCCAAAACAATTAAACTCTCCTCTTCATCAAATTCCCTTCTTGTCTGTACAGGTAGAGATACAAATGCACTTTAAAAACCTTTAAACACCTTAATCACAACACTTTAACCACACTCTGACAAGGCAAGGCCAAGACAACAGTCCTTGGCTTCAGCTAAGAGTGGCATAGAGAATTACAACCTTCTGGGCTTCTATTACATCCAACAGAGACAGGTCACTGGCAAGAGTTGAACACGTTAAATTATCAATTTTAACGTAATCAAAACAAATAACATTATCTTACCATGAGAGAGGCTAAGATTGACAGCCTTCAATCCCATCAAATCAAGGATACTGTCAATGATCACCTTTCTATTGTCGCCAGTCTTTTTGTTGACACTCTCAATGGCACGTCTTTGCCAGTCTGTCCAAAACAACCGACCTCCTAACACAGTAAGTCCAAACACATGTGGTAGATTATGATCAAGAATTACCCTACGATTACTTCCATCAAGATTCATGATTTCAATTTTGTCCAACTTGGCATCAACCCAGTAGAGTTTTTGCTCGTGGAAATCAATGGTAATGCCATTAGGCCAAGCAACCGATGTGTTCACCAAAGTAATACGATGACTACCATCCAGTTCTGCTCGTTCAATCTTTGGATGTTTTCCCCAATCAGTCCAGTACATGTGGCTAAAAAAGAAACAATTCTCAGTACAAGAAGATGTATAGATTTTCTTTCCTACCTTAAAAAAAACACAAACGTTCATAAACAGTATGCTTCAACGGTAGGCGTCGAAATTAGAGCATGGCAGATCAAATTGCGTGGCCGCCACTAAGATTTTAAGTTGCCAGGTGTATCCAATTAGAAAGCTGAAATTGAACAGCTGGAAAGTTCTTTTTTTGGTTCTACTTTCCTTTTGTTTTCTAGGGAAGTGACCTTGGTTGATGCTGCCTGAACCCTTATAAATTACATGTATTTATTATACGCGGCTACAATAGTATACCTACATGTACAGTAAAATAAAATATGCTACAATATGCGTTTTAATTGGCTGCTAAGCCAAGATTTTCTTGTAATGACTGGGTATAACTGCATGTAGCTTAGGTGTCCAAGGCATATACAATCTGTGTTTTTAAACACAAAACTTGATAGTGGACATCCATATTATGGTTAATTGACAGCTGTCAAAAAAGGCTATCTGCTGTCACATGACTGTATTGTAAGCTCAAGTGTAAGACTCATTCAGGTGATACTCTTTTAAAGTTATCTGCTGATCAGTTATTGGTTGTTAATTGATGGCAGGCTCAGGTCCAAAATTCTCATTGTCAAAGAAACTGTGTCCTGTAATTTCAATCATATTACCAGGTTCATTTCAGGTCAGTGAACATGACCTTGAAATAAATAAACTCTTATGCGTTGACGTTGAAAATTAGTTGCGGTGTTTTTTATTGTATTCATTTCAAAAAACAGCTCTAAACAGGCCATATAGTAAATAACTTATTCACCCTGTCTGTTCGGTCATTAATAAGTAGTATATATTATAATTACAGATAATTATTCAGACCACCCACTATCACATTTTGACTCCCTTGGTAAAGAATTGGGCACCCAAATTTAAGAAGTGCTCCCCTCATAATTCTGAATTTTATTTACCTTTACAGTACCATCATCCTAGTTAGGGTAAGACTGACAAAACTCACCCATGAGAAGGGTACAGTGTTATTGCCCTTGGTTCATCTAGGTCTTTAGAGATAAGGACTTTTCTTGATGATCCATTAAGCCTGCTGACTTCAATTCGATCTGTACCTGTGTCAGTCCAGTATAAGTTTCGTGCCACCCAGTCAACGGCAAGACCATCAGGATGTCTGACATCAGCGTTCACTATTACCTGAACATCTAGGAAGAGGTAAACAAAGGAGTATGATTAATCACTGTCTCACAGTCTTCACCTGACTACTCTCTGAGTACATTATAATACTTACATTTGAAATGATTATATTGCATTCATATTGTTTTTTTATTTTTCTTTCATTATTATTATCATTATTTTTATTTTCATTTTTTTTACCATGATTTAACCTTTTGAGAGTAAAACCCCATATGATTTGACCAATCCCTACCTTTAAAAAGATTACACATGTAGGAATGCGACTTTGTTGGTACCAGTCAACGCACGGTGCCATGCACCTACACTTGGTGACTGAGCCTTTCATTCGGCAGCTCCTAAACTGTGGAACAGTTTGGGATCGGAGAACAGAAACATTCAAAGACAGCTGTTAATTGACTTATTTATACATATATTTTTTAAGACTGCTTTTAATTGACTTATTCTTATCTTATTGTTTGTAATGCACATATGAAACTATTTTTACTGTATATGCACAAAATAAGTTTCATATTTATTATTATTATTTATTAAAAGGCAATCGCTCATGACTTCAAACCCCGGTTGCCAAATTGGCAACCTTTGTTGCAGTTTTAGTCACTCAAACTTTTTCAACTTGTCATGGCAACCAAAAAGGTGACACCTTGGAGCACTGAACCACTCACATTGTATACTACTACAAAATCATGTTGTACTGGAATCTTTTCATCAAGTTTGATCTGTGACGAAATACGTATTATATATAAAAGACCACACAATGACAAAGTAATGTGAAGAATACCTGTTCCATTCATTTTGGATTTCTTAATTTCAAGCTTTTCGTCATCGCTCCAATAGACAAATTTATCCACTGGATCAAAATCAATGGCAACTGCATGTCGCAGACCAGAAACTGGCACAACAACATCAGTGAGGTCAGGTGTGTCAAGTGAAATACGTCGTATATCCACTTTACGTGCCAATAATAGGAAGTGTACAGGACCTGTAACAAAATGAATCTAAATGAAGTAATGGAAGTTCATGTAGAAAGCCTTTCACCTATTAAAACAGAAATTTGTGAGTTTTTCCTTCATCTTCAGAGGTGTGGTTTTAGTTGACAGTAGCAGCAAACAAAAAAACTGGAGCACTTTATATTGTAACAAAAGAAAAAAACTAACTGCAAAGTTGTGCTCTTAGAGCAAATCAGGGTTATCACTAAGTTTTCAGGTTGCTGCGTATACGTAATTAGTAGGCAGGGAATAGAACAGTTAGAGTTCTCTTCTTCAACTTCTTTGAAAATCGGGAGGGTGATTACCTGTAGGATACTACAAGTAAGTGCTTCCTCACCTGAAAAATGTACCTGCATTTCAAGCGGTAGTCGTAATGTGATAACCAAACAAGCTGCAATATCCAAATGATTGGCTAGCTTGAAACAATTCTTACCTTGCTCACATGTTCTGGCATCTTGAAGAAGCTTTACCCCAGTTGGGCAGGCACATGAATGACCACGTGCATTCAATAAACATAAATGGCTGCATCCTCCATTGGTACTTGAATTGCATGGGTTATCACCTGTAATAAGTAGGCAGAGTAGTTATCTCAAAATGGTAAAATTCCAAGCCTTTATGAATCCGTGGATGAGTGGTTAGAGCTCTGGAGTTGTAATTCGGAGGCCCAAAGCTCAAGTCCTGCTCATACACTCATACTCAGAGATGAGAGTAGGGGGAGGTCTTCCACTCCTAACAGTGCGACTTTATGGCGGTTTGAATAACAAAATAAAATCTACGTATCAATGGAAAATGTACCTGGACCACAACCCTTGCAGTCCATCAATTTTTTCCATAAAATTATCATTGTCAATATATGTTTGCAAATTTTCGGACATCTAGTCTCATCTGCCAAACAATCTGAAATTGGTTTTCTGGTTAAATTAAGAGGCTACATGTATGTTACGAGAGTATGACCGTTTTAAGTCAATTCTGTGCCGAAATCACCATAATACCTTTTTTTTTATTTTTGAAGGCAAAGAATTAAAACGTGAAAACACTAGCCCAGCTTTTTCAAGTTCAATCCAAGTCCACTCTAATGTTTTAGTTTCGTTGTCACAGACAACCGGAAACAAATGCCTAAATAATAATAATAATAATTAAACTCATCGCCAATTGATGAACTTGGGAACTGGTGCCTTAAAAGTTAGCGGGAATGGGTCCGAGGTAATTCAGGCACCGCAGGGGGGTCTCCATGGCAACCCGGCAAGCGGGAACACCCCAGTAGCAGCTGCTAACAGGCACCGTCACACTGAAACTAGTCCAGTGGAAATACTTACCTAACCCGAGACTTACCTCTGAAATCAAGTAGCCCACTGGGAAGGGAGGGTAGGGCTAATGAATCCGCAAAGATTCGCTCACAAAAGCATTGATCGCAACGATCGCTAGAAAGCAAAGCTGTACGTAGTTTGCCCCCTGCGAACGCCAAAGGGGCGCCCCCACAGATCACGTGCAAACTGGGCGAGACCGCTGGCAGCATTAGCTCGAGATTAACCTTGCCTAAATTACATTTAGCCACATTTAAACTCATCGCCAATTGATGAGCTTGGGCACTGGTGCCTTAAAAGTTAGCGGGGAAGGGCCCGAGATAATTCAGGCACCACAGGGAGGTCTCCATGGCAACCCGGCAAGCGAGAACCACCCATCTTCTCCGCGGCTTGGGGACCGGAGGTTCCCGATGGTCGGGCAACATGGAACCTCTGAACCTTCTCAAGAGAATCCCAGCACCGCTAAGCCCAATAACAGATAGCTTGATGCTATTAGGGGAGAACCAAACAAAAAACAAGCCTACCTGGTAGCGAAGGGAGTAGCGCTATGCTGAGGGAGACACCGGCCGGCGATGATGAGCTACGAAGACCACCTTGGCAAGCAAAGGCCAATCACGCCAGCTTCTGAAAAAGAGATGCTAAGGCCGCAGACGGAGTTCTGACGTAAGACTGAAAGGCATCGCTTTTCCACCGCCCCAGCTCCTGAATTAAATTATCTGGAATACCATTGCGGCCAGCAACGGTGGCTGCGCCTATTCGGAAGCTGTGGCTTGGAAAATTACCAGGAATTCCAGCAGAGGCCATGATTTGCCGAAGCCAGTTGGTGAGTAGAGTACGCGAGAGAGGTTTTCCCGTTTTGACAAAGAAACAGAGGGCCCAGCCCATCACCCCGGATAGCCAATAGGCCAGTAACGCGTGAACAGCGCATAGGGGATACTTGCCAAGGCCAATATGAATGGAGCAGCCCTTGCGGAACGGATCCGTCTTTGAAGCCTTGATAGTCACGCGGATGCACGAGGGAGCTCTGCTGGAGTCCCCTGCGATATCCTGCACGCCCAAATGAACCGAGGGGGAGAAACTTGCCAAAGAAGGGACCGTGAATTCCGCGGACCATAGAAACCCAAAATACCCCGGCGTGCATGCCGCCCAAAACATACAATGATCAGGGAGCTGCAAATTTAAGGACTTCCAAATGACTAGCATGAGGTCATCTGTAATTGGCAAACGACTAGATGAATGGGAGCCCTGAGTGCGTTTGATGCCACGAATGACACGCTGCAACCGAAGACAGTTGTGAAGAGGATCCGTAAAACCTTGTTCGACATGAAGATCTCTCACCCCAGAGAGATACACTTTGATGGAAGAGTGCTAAAGAGAACCGGCCAAAAACGTAGCAAACAAGCAGAGCGTCCATTCATCTGCCGGGCAGGGAGACCTAGACGAGTGGATCCTGCCTAACTGACGGCAGAGGGACAAGAACTGGGACTGAGCTGTAGCATATGACTTGCGGTCAGATGCTGCTAGACCCTGTGCCAAATAGGAAGACCACTGTGCTTCTAAAGTGGGGAGATGAGGTCCTCCAACAGCTGCGGTGGAATGGGAGTTGGGTGACGATGAGCCTCCGGAGCCAAACGGCCAAAGTCCTGGCAATGAAAGCGAGAAAGGGCATCAGGTATCGAATTAGTGACTCCAGGAATATGTTGGGCAGAGAACGAAAAACTATGACGGGCAGCTGCCAGTAGCAAGGAACGGAGCAAATGCATAAGACATGGCACTTTAGATGTCCTAGCATTCAGAATGTGCGCCACACTGTCGTTGTCCGATCGAAACAGAACATGCCGCCTGCACCAATGATGGCCCCAAACATGAGCAGAGACGATCACTGGCAAGAGTTCCTTATAACCAATGGACTGTTCTCGCTGTGAGGACATCCAAGAACCAGTAAACCACATGCCCTCTAAATACGCACCAAAGCCCAGTGAACCAGCTGAATCAGAGGAAACGTCCAAACCTCCAGTAGGCATATTGCCTAGAAAAAGCCAGAAATTGACCCCATGCCAATCTACGAGGAACTGATGCCACCACTGCAAATCGCGATAGAACTCCTTATTAAGGCGGATAGGGTGATCCTTCTTGCAGAAGCAGCAGAGTAGGTCAATCATCCGACGTAAGAAGGTGCGACCAGGCCATACCACTTTCGCAGCATGATGGAGGTGACCAATTAGGGACTCTAGCTCCCGTCCTGTTGCACTAAGACCGGGCTAACCATGATGCAATCAACTCCCGCAGGGCATGGAGTTTCTCCGCTGGAAGGCGGGCCACTTGATTGACAGAATCCAGTTCAATGCCCGGAACTGTAAGTACTGGGGCAGGGCCAACACATTTTCCAGGATGAAGAGGTAAGCCCAACTGGTCGCAAACAGCCAAGCAGCACTGAGGTTCCTAGCACACTGAGTTGAAGCCGGGGGGCCAGCTGTGATAAAATTATCGAGACAATGGAGTAAATCGGAGACCTCATAGAAATCGTGGTCCTAGGTGAGTTGGTATAGGCGGTGACTCAACTTAATGTAAGGGGCAGAGCGAAGGCCAAATGGAAGAGTCAAGTCAACATAGTAGGACTCCCGCCACTTCATTCCTAAGAGTAACCGGTCTGATGGGTGGACTGGAATATTACGGTAGGCTGCCTCGATATCGAACCTAGCCATAAGTGCCCCTCTGCCGAGTCGGGACACCATGCGGATGATTTGGTCAACTGTCATGTAATGCAAGGTAAACTCATGGGCGTTGATCCCATCATTGACGCCTGCACCACCTGGGGATGAGAGGTCCACTATCAAACGCCACTCCCAGGCTGACCCTTTTGGGAATAACCCCAAAGCTACTTATATGAAGGTTGGGAAGGGGAGAAGATCTGAAAGGGCCCGCAACCCTATCCCGGGAAACCTCATGGGCCAAGTACTCATCAATGACTGAGGGCCGCTGGTAGGTTGAGGGTTTGTTTTTCTCAGCTGATTTTAGTGAAAGCGCAGGCTGAAAACCGAGCTTGAAACCGTTCAGCAGTCCATCCAATACAAAGTTACATAGCTGCCGATTCGGATGATGTCGCAATTCCTAGGCAAACTGCTCCACCTTGAGCGGAGTTATTTCCGACACCGGGGGAAGTGGCACTATGAAAAGGAAACAGACAATATCATACAATAGCATATCATAAAAGAACTGTTTATTCTTTTTATGTTATTAAAGATAGAAACTACCAACTAGCAACAGACAGCAAACACTAAGTCTAAAAAAGGAGAGTTCAAGTTCGCCGAGACTTCCTGGAGGAACGGGGCGGGGATCGCGAGCGGCGGCTGGACTGGGGGCTGGGCTGGCTCTGACCCTAGGCAGTTGACAGCACGATGTGCACCAGAGCAGCTGGAACAGCGGTGGGCAAAACGACATGAGGCATATGGGGCCACACAACTACCTTTGTTCCATGACTTGCACAGAATCTGAGAGGCACTTGCTCCAGCTTGTTCTGATGAGTCAGTCGAGGAGATATGGGGTCCACGAGCGGAGGCTCCCGCAGCATGGAAGGTGAATAGCTGGACGTTTATGGACGACCAGTCAACGACATTAGCAGCTGCAGCATGCTCCCGGAACGCTCTGTCATAGGCCAGCCAAACCTTCCCGCTAAACTGACGGTATGTCCTCAGGACGAGTAGTTTATACTGCAATAGGTCTCGTGAGCGGTGCGGGAAGAGGGAGATCATTATAAGGCAATAGACTAAAAAAGCCTCCATCTAAGTGGTGATGTCTTCAACGCGGCGTTTAGGCTTCTTCGGAGTAGGGGTCAGCACAACACGACCGTCAAACAGCAGCTGGGGCTCGGATTCGGCGGACGCAACAGTCGACGGGAGCAGATCGCCCAAGTCAATGAACTTCCCCGCCATCACTTGGCCGACTACTTTCGCAGGAACGGGGGAGAAGCCAGGACCGACAATGAAGGGCTGGTTCAGCACGGAGAACGAAGTCGCTGACGAAATGTTGGCCTGGGAGAACGTGACAGCAGATGAAATGCTTTCCAGGGACGACGTGGTCGCCATGTTGGCAATGGACAGTGAATGCGAGCGGGTTCGGGGGCAAAAAGGTCGACACAAAAGTAGGAAGAACAAAAGCTGGCCTACCTTGTGCAGCAGAAGTTCCTGCGGAAGTGGAATGTGCAGCAAAAACCGCTCCAGAAGCAGCAAAAGCGGTGGCTTGCGAAGATAGCAGCGAGGGAACGCTCCCAAAGGCCATCGCACTAGACGGGATAGCGGCCGACGAAGATTGGCCTTGGTTTGGCAGGGCCGTAGAAGCTGGGCAAGGTACCGAAGCCTGTTCTGCTGCCAGAGCAGCCTTAACAGCTTGCAAAACCGTAGCCAGAAACGGTTAAGAAGCATTGGCATCCCCAGGGGGCGAAGCATTGCTCGCAGACACACCGACAACATCGCACGAAGACGGACGATTACCATCGGATTCAACCTCGACGAGTGGCGTCGCTTGACTGTTTTGAGTTGAAGGAGGCATGATGGAAAAATGCTAATGAAAAATGCTAATGAACCCGCAAAGATTCGCCCACAAAAGTATTGATCGCAACGATCGCTAGAAAGCAAGGCTGTACGTAGTTTGCCCCTGCAAACTCCAAAGGGGCGCCTCGACAGATCATGTGCAAACTGGGCGAGACCGCTGGCACCATTAGCTCGAGATTAACCTTCCCTAAATTGCATTTAGCCACATTAATAATAATAATAATAATAATAATAATAATTTAATCACATATATTGTACGAGTATTTATAAAAATGATCAAATGCGCATTACATTGGCAATAAAAGCATTAAAAAAACCTATTTGCAATATGAAAAAAAAAATTAATATATATCTACAATACTACAAAAAAATCTAAAATATCAATAATTAGTATATACACACTCAGTGATCTTGGTGATTTAAGCAATCTGATTGGTTCGTTATCTCGGACTATTCAACAATATTCACCTCCTAGCGAGTGGATAATGTGTGAGCTCGGTGTTTTTCCCATTTTTTTAGAGAACGATCTTTTAAAGTCGACAAAATCCTGGGGCTGATTTTTTTTTAAGGCAAGAAAAGACTTGGAAGGATTCAATACGGCGTTTTTCAATTTACTGTAGCTGACTTTTGTGCTCGATGCATTGTTTACAACTCCCGTGTATTCGCGTAGAAGAATCTGTTTCGTGAACTCAGCGTTTTCTAACAAGAAAATTTTGGCTCAAAAATCGAAGTTTATTTATGACGAACAAATTTAAAAGAAAATGTTTGCAGAAATTCTACGTTTCAAGTAAACAGGAAAAAGAATGATACAGGAAGACGACGTCTTACCTCGAGCAACAGAGCCGCCTTTTTGTCAGCACTTCATGCGAAGAAGGACAGAACAAACCCTTTTGGCTATAAACTTGGCGTGTCAACAGAAAACAACAAAGCTCTACTTTTCTTCTCAGGCAAAGAAACAGTTCAAACTTTTAGCGGTTCCTTTTAAGCCATTACACTGTTGTTTGCGAAATAATAAACTTGTGAATTGCCATGTTTGAAAATTCTACAAAAATCTATTTTTAAACTTACGCGTGATTTGATCTGTCAATCAAATCGTACTTTTTAATGGTTTCCTCTCTGATTTTGTTGAGATCACTTCGTGTGTATATACNGGATTCAATACGGCGTTTTTCAATTTACTGTAGCTGACTTTTGTGCTCGATGCATTGTTTACAACTCCCGTGTATTCGCGTAGAAGAATCTGTTTCGTGAACTCAGCGTTTTCTAACAAGAAAATTTTGGCTCAAAAATCGAAGTTTATTTATGACGAACAAATTTAAAAGAAAATGTTTGCAGAAATTCTACGTTTCAAGTAAACAGGAAAAAGAATGATACAGGAAGACGACGTCTTACCTCGAGCAACAGAGCCGCCTTTTTGTCAGCACTTCATGCGAAGAAGGACAGAACAAACCCTTTTGGCTATAAACTTGGCGTGTCAACAGAAAACAACAAAGCTCTACTTTTCTTCTCAGGCAAAGAAACAGTTCAAACTTTTAGCGGTTCCTTTTAAGCCATTACACTGTTGTTTGCGAAATAATAAACTTGTGAATTGCCATGTTTGAAAATTCTACAAAAATCTATTTTTAAACTTACGCGTGATTTGATCTGTCAATCAAATCGTACTTTTTAATGGTTTCCTCTCTGATTTTGTTGAGATCACTTCGTGTGTATATACTAAAACAATTATTCTTTTCAATCTCGGTGAATAGTGGCTGTGGGAATATTTACCTCGCCGCTTTCGCGGCTCGGTAAATATTTGACCACTGTTCACCTCGATTTCAAAGAATAATTGTTAAGTATAACTAATTAAAATTCATTTCACTATAAACGAACTTAAAAAGGTACATCTTGAGATGGTGTTTAAAAGTATGTAAGTATGGAATGTCGCAAAGCTCGCGTGGTAGTGCATTCCATAAGCTGGGCGCCATCACCTGGAAGAACCTATCGCCTAATGTGACCTTAGTTCTAAATGTTGGCAGTGGTAGCAAAATCCCACCAGACAATCTGAGGTAATATGTGCCTTGTGATTTCAGTGAAACTAAGTTGTAAATGCATGTAGGGGCTATGCCATGGATAGCCTTGAATGCAAATAACAAAGTCTTAAAATGAATGCACTGCTATAACGGAAGCCAATGTAGCTCATACATCAATGGTGTAATATGGCGGAAGCACACCAAACAAGCCTTGCTGCAGTGTTTAAAACAGGCTAAACCTTGTTAAACTGCAAGGCAGGTACAGGTAGACCATACAAAAGGCTATTATAGTAGTCAACGCGAGAAGTGACGAATGCATGCAGTTTCCTGGGGGCTTAGGAACTTGCGAATATGACTGATGACTCGTTGTGTAGATGACAGAAGGCTGAGCTACAGAGCTTGCTAATATGAGTAGACTGTATACCAAGCTGATGATCAAACCAGGACACCAGATTTCTGACCACTGGCTTTGTGTTCACAACAGACTTAAAAACAGTAATACTACTAATGTCAACCTTAGCTAACTGTTGCATGGTCTTAAATAAAAAAATTGGACCATTTTTTTTGGAATTCAAGTTTACCTTGCTCAAAGATAGCAAATACAGTGAAACCTGTATTAAGCGGACACCCTCTATTAAGCGGACAGTAGCCGAAGTCCCCAAATTTATTTCCCTTATTTACTTTAAATGAAACCTTTATTAAGCGGACACCTCTATTAAGCGGACGCGGACACCTAAAAAGTACCTAAAAAAGGCCATTTCTATTGTTGCCAACCTGTATTAAACGGACACTTGTAATTAAATTCCACCACCCAACATGCCAGACACCGGGAAATGCGAAAGATTGCCTCGAATTGCCACCCACAAATTTTTCGATTTTTACGTTAAAAAACGTGACTTGACGAACGTATTTGATTAGTTCCACAGTACAGGATTGTTTTCTATTTCGTTTTGTTTGTATAGAGCTTGTTTCACTCATCTGATTTCTTTAAATTTGAGTTGCAATCCATGTTTATGGTACTATGATCAATTGGTTCACTTTGATAAAGAAATTAATGCAAACGTCTATCGTCATAGTCTCTGGGAGTATTATAAACGCTTCCACTGTTCATTTGAATGGCATTTGACACCTCATATGACGTTATATATCGAAACCTGTATTAGGCGGACACCCAGTATTAAGCGGACACTACAGCATTCCCCGAGGGTGTCCGCTTAATACAGGTTTCACTGTAATGTGAAAGGTTAGGAAATGGCTTTTTTGAACCATTTTGGCACCCATACAGTACATTATGTACTAGCATAAACCGGTCATTAAGACCTTACATTTGTATGTGTCACAAGGCACATTAAAGAGATAAAGGTAATAAACTGATCATTGGTACACAGCTCTCAGCATAATGATCGACAAGTAACCTCAAGGAAAACAAATGAGCAAGACAACAAGAGTTGAAATTGAACTCACCAGGTCGAGGTCTAGGCATCTGCCTCTTGGGTTCATAGGCACGAATGTCCATTGGAGAAACAGTATTTGGTACAATAACTGGACACCGCAGTCCATTGTTCTTATTTGTCGAGTGAATTCCTCTTGTTTTCCAGTCTGTCCAATATATTTTATTTTCGTACAATGTAAGAGCAAAAGGATGTCCCAGTATACATTGTCTAGAAGACCTGAATATGCTCTCGCGATTTGTGCCATCATAATTGGCCTTGTCTATATAATGTAAATTTGCATCTGTCCAGTATATCTTCCGTACACTGTAGTCTATTGTTAGCCCATTGGGCCAGTGAATATTTTTTCGGATAATAACCCGGCGATTTGAGCTGTCCATTTCAGCTTGCTCTATTTTGGGTTCTTCACCCCAGTCTGTCCAAAACATGTACCTAGAAAAAATAAAATCAAAAGAAATGAGAGGTCAGACTATGACACAACCCTTCATAAAGATTGTTGTAACGATAATCCTGGCTGTAATTAACAATAGGCACAAACAATACCAAAAACACTGATTCTTCAACATGATTTTAAATGTAACCAAGTATATTTTTAAACTCTTATTATATTTATTAATGTTGGTTTAACTTGAAAGTATTCAAAAACAAATTGTGAGGCAACCATTAAAGGAAAAAAAAAACACTTTGTTTAGGAAACTACTGCTACGAGGCTATAAAGTACTACCAGGAGATTAGTGGCTGTTTTCTCTGAAACAAGCGCAATGATATGGTGGACTATTTAAATGCAAGTACACATGTGCCCCTTCTCATCAGTTTCTTATGTACATCAAAATCAATAAGGATTGATTCATTTAAAGAATACTATCACATGTTGACATCATATTTGCTATTTTTAACAATTGTTTTCAAACTTATACACAATGAAGATCCAGTACCAGGCAAATCTGACGGCTATATAAATATCTTCTAAATGAATCCACCCTTAGTTTCATAAAGTAATTCACCACATTATCATACTGCACTCAACAAATTTCAAACCAATTAAAAAGCAATTGAAAGTATTTATAGTTCTTGGAGTACATGTAGATCAGCGTCAATTTATCTATTGCAACATTTAGGAATAACTTCCTGGATGTATAGTTGCCTGTCATGAACTGATGTTGCTATCTCAAACTAACAAAACAGTTCTATCTCTTATCCTGTTTCCTTTAAGTTTTTTGTTTGTTTGTTATGCACCAGCAGATGCAATACTGTATATTATGCGGGTGAGGACAAAAATGGACCAGAGGTCCATGGACCCCCACCTTGGACCGGGTCCATGGGCCACTTTCATGGACCGGGTCCATGGACCCCCTGTCATTTGGACCGGGTCCATGGACAGTTTTTTTAAAATAATGAGAAATGAACAAAAACAGAAATAGAGCAAAAATAACATTAAAAACAACAACAACAACAAACAATACTCAATTAATCAGTATTATTCATTGCGCGACTTTTACTTCATGCCAAAATGCTGCTTGTTCTTATAAATTGTTTCCTCTGACGGGTGGATTATGCTTTGGTGGAAAACGTTTTGACTGAGCAAATATGAATTTTTTACTGCTTACAGTGAAACCTGTATTAAGTGGACACCCTTGGGGAATGCTGTAGTGTTTGCTTAATACAGGATGTCCGCCTAATACAGGTTTCCATAGATAATGTCATATGAGGTGTCAAATGCCATTCAAATGAACAATGGAAACGTTCAGAATACTCCCCGAGAGACTATGATGACATGCGTTTGCATTAATTTCACGCAACCCGCTTGTATCAGTTTAGAGGTGTTAGGTTTTTCCACTTCTTGGTTTACCAAAATTCAGGTATTTAGGTGCTTTACTTTTGAAAGAAAAAAAAATCAAAGATAACGCATTTAAAATTTACTTTAACGCTGGCATCTGAGACATCCTGTGCACTTCAGCCAATACAAAGTTAAAAATCATAATTAGGAACTATAAATGTTTTGAAGGGAAAAAAGCAAATAAACACCAAAATACTGAGTGGTGGGAAAATTGATGATGAGTATTAAACTAAGTATGCATTTTGTAGTCTGGGACTCAAAGAACAGATCTTGTTGGCACACAAGTATGACACTAAAATGAGGTATACATTGTACATCATTTGTAAAAAACACCCTGTCACCTCTAGGCAGTTTTCAAAATTATGACAAACTGCCTTCATGAGCTTGCATTTAAATAATAAAAAAAAAAGACAAGAACAACCGGCACTGAAACTTTAAACTTAAACAAACTACACTGTATTCAAGAGTCTGAATTCATCTCAAATCAAACATTTTTCTTTCCTTTTTAGGGCAGCAAATTTGCACTCTGTTATTAGACAATGTAAATAAATCTTAAGTAACCATGGATAATCAACAAAACATTCATTGAGTTCTGATTTAAGAAAAGATCAAATGAAATGTAAGGCTTTTCCATTGTTCAAGACTATTAACAAAGTCTTCTCTATATGGGACCTGGTAACACTTGTGAATGGATATTGCACTTTAAAAGATTTTCTACAGAAAGGAAAGCCATTACTTGCGTTAAGAATTTTGACAGGTCCGCAGTCACTCATTAGCGCCACTAAAGTAAGTTCAAGTTCCAGGGTAAATGATGAGAGGGTCTCAAGGGCTCAGAATTTTACCTTAAGCTGGAATCTTGGAATATGTTCCAGCTACATGTTTATGAATAAGCAGACTTTTCAATACATAACAACCAACCAGAATATCGCAAAAAGCTACACAAAAATATAGTAATGGGGTGAGCAAAATGGTGATAGATTACTGTTTGCTCACTAAAGCTCAGAGCCTAATGTATTTTTAATTGTGCATAGTTCATTAACTTACCTCTTGAATCCTTACGACCTGAATTTAACTCTTTAAGTGAAAGCCATTTGGAAAACCTTTCTCGAAATTATAAACAGAATTTGTAAGGACATTCCTTTTCCGGAAACACGATGGTCGGTTGCTAGGGCTTTTGCTCCCATTAGGTTCTTAAATTCAATTTCTGGCTTACAGAGGTGTAGTTTATATTTCAAATGAAGCAAAACATTAGAACATCTTAATTGGAGAAAAGTTTTCTTTAAATTTTTACAATTGTAAAGGTATTTTTGACTTTTCTTTCGTACAATGTAAGAGCAAAAGGATGTCCCAGTATACATTGTCTAGAAGACCTGAATATGCTCTCGCGATTTGTGCCATCATAATTGGCCTTGTCTATATAATGTAAATTTGCATCTGTCCAGTATATCTTCCGTACACTGTAGTCTATTGTTAGCCCATTGGGCCAGTGAATATTTTTTCGGATAATAACCCGGCGATTTGAGCTGTCCATTTCAGCTTGCTCTATTTTGGGTTCTTCACCCCAGTCTGTCCAAAACATGTACCTAGAAAAAATAAAATCAAAAGAAATGAGAGGTCAGACTATGACACAACCCTTCATAAAGATTGTTGTAACGATAATCCTGGCTGTAATTAACAATAGGCACAAACAATACCAAAAACACTGATTCTTCAACATGATTTTAAATGTAACCAAGTATATTTTTAAACTCTTATTATATTTATTAATGTTGGTTTAACTTGAAAGTATTCAAAAACAAATTGTGAGGCAACCATTAAAGGAAAAAAAAAACACTTTGTTTAGGAAACTACTGCTACGAGGCTATAAAGTACTACCAGGAGATTAGTGGCTGTTTTCTCTGAAACAAGCGCAATGATATGGTGGACTATTTAAATGCAAGTACACATGTGCCCCTTCTCATCAGTTTCTTATGTACATCAAAATCAATAAGGATTGATTCATTTAAAGAATACTATCACATGTTGACATCATATTTGCTATTTTTAACAATTGTTTTCAAACTTATACACAATGAAGATCCAGTACCAGGCAAATCTGACGGCTATATAAATATCTTCTAAATGAATCCACCCTTAGTTTCATAAAGTAATTCACCACATTATCATACTGCACTCAACAAATTTCAAACCAATTAAAAAGCAATTGAAAGTATTTATAGTTCTTGGAGTACATGTAGATCAGCGTCAATTTATCTATTGCAACATTTAGGAATAACTTCCTGGATGTATAGTTGCCTGTCATGAACTGATGTTGCTATCTCAAACTAACAAAACAGTTCTATCTCTTATCCTGTTTCCTTTAAGTTTTTTGTTTGTTTGTTATGCACCAGCAGATGCAATACTGTATATTATGCGGGTGAGGACAAAAATGGACCAGAGGTCCATGGACCCCCACCTTGGACCGGGTCCATGGGCCACTTTCATGGACCGGGTCCATGGACCCCCTGTCATTTGGACCGGGTCCATGGACAGTTTTTTTAAAATAATGAGAAATGAACAAAAACAGAAATAGAGCAAAAATAACATTAAAAACAACAACAACAACAAACAATACTCAATTAATCAGTATTATTCATTGCGCGACTTTTACTTCATGCCAAAATGCTGCTTGTTCTTATAAATTGTTTCCTCTGACGGGTGGATTATGCTTTGGTGGAAAACGTTTTGACTGAGCAAATATGAATTTTTTACTGCTTACAGTGAAACCTGTATTAAGTGGACACCCTTGGGGAATGCTGTAGTGTTTGCTTAATACAGGATGTCCGCCTAATACAGGTTTCCATAGATAATGTCATATGAGGTGTCAAATGCCATTCAAATGAACAATGGAAACGTTCAGAATACTCCCCGAGAGACTATGATGACATGCGTTTGCATTAATTTCACGCAACCCGCTTGTATCAGTTTAGAGGTGTTAGGTTTTTCCACTTCTTGGTTTACCAAAATTCAGGTATTTAGGTGCTTTACTTTTGAAAGAAAAAAAAATCAAAGATAACGCATTTAAAATTTACTTTAACGCTGGCATCTGAGACATCCTGTGCACTTCAGCCAATACAAAGTTAAAAATCATAATTAGGAACTATAAATGTTTTGAAGGGAAAAAAGCAAATAAACACCAAAATACTGAGTGGTGGGAAAATTGATGATGAGTATTAAACTAAGTATGCATTTTGTAGTCTGGGACTCAAAGAACAGATCTTGTTGGCACACAAGTATGACACTAAAATGAGGTATACATTGTACATCATTTGTAAAAAACACCCTGTCACCTCTAGGCAGTTTTCAAAATTATGACAAACTGCCTTCATGAGCTTGCATTTAAATAATAAAAAAAAAAGACAAGAACAACCGGCACTGAAACTTTAAACTTAAACAAACTACACTGTATTCAAGAGTCTGAATTCATCTCAAATCAAACATTTTTCTTTCCTTTTTAGGGCAGCAAATTTGCACTCTGTTATTAGACAATGTAAATAAATCTTAAGTAACCATGGATAATCAACAAAACATTCATTGAGTTCTGATTTAAGAAAAGATCAAATGAAATGTAAGGCTTTTCCATTGTTCAAGACTATTAACAAAGTCTTCTCTATATGGGACCTGGTAACACTTGTGAATGGATATTGCACTTTAAAAGATTTTCTACAGAAAGGAAAGCCATTACTTGCGTTAAGAATTTTGACAGGTCCGCAGTCACTCATTAGCGCCACTAAAGTAAGTTCAAGTTCCAGGGTAAATGATGAGAGGGTCTCAAGGGCTCAGAATTTTACCTTAAGCTGGAATCTTGGAATATGTTCCAGCTACATGTTTATGAATAAGCAGACTTTTCAATACATAACAACCAACCAGAATATCGCAAAAAGCTACACAAAAATATAGTAATGGGGTGAGCAAAATGGTGATAGATTACTGTTTGCTCACTAAAGCTCAGAGCCTAATGTATTTTTAATTGTGCATAGTTCATTAACTTACCTCTTGAATCCTTACGACCTGAATTTAACTCTTTAAGTGAAAGCCATTTGGAAAACCTTTCTCGAAATTATAAACAGAATTTGTAAGGACATTCCTTTTCCGGAAACACGATGGTCGGTTGCTAGGGCTTTTGCTCCCATTAGGTTCTTAAATTCAATTTCTGGCTTACAGAGGTGTAGTTTATATTTCAAATGAAGCAAAACATTAGAACATCTTAATTGGAGAAAAGTTTTCTTTAAATTTTTACAATTGTAAAGGTATTTTTGACTTTTCTTGAAAGTATGACGTCATAAGTGACACCTATTTTTAGTAACAACGTTAAAAATTTGATAAGCAGTGTTCAAAATGTTACAAACATTTTTGTTACAGAAAAAAAATATTTACAATGAAAACCCCATCTCAATCGGATAAAATGGCGTGAAGTTACAGGTAATTAAAGAAATTCAAATTTCCCGCCTCATGACCATATATGGTCAAACTTTAGGGATATTTTAACGTGAAAACAGTGAATGTATTTACAACGGAAAAAAGACAAAGCTGCATAAAAGCAAAATTGTAGTTTTTTGAATTCGGCATATGTAGTGCTATGACGCGTATTTCGTCACAAATTACGTCAACATGACGTCAAAATGACGTAATTCGTGACGACACATCCTAAACTCAAAAAACTACAATTTTGTTTTTATGCAAATTTGTCTTTTCTCCGTTGCGACTACCTTCATTGTTTTCGCGTTAAAATACCCCTAAAGTTTGACCATATATGGTCATTTGGCGGGAAATTTGAATTTCTTTAATTAAATGTAACTTTGCGTCTTTTCATCCGATTGAGATGGGGTTTTCACCAGAAATCATAGAATTCTAAACAGAAAACTAATGTAAAATTTTTACCATTTCTTTCCTGAATTTTCTTTCTGATCCCAAATTTGGACATCATTTATGACGTCACAATAGAAGTCACATGGGATGAAAGAAACACCAATAAATAGGTAATTTATCAACTTACTTCCTTGCCAAGTTTTGTTACATTCGATGCATTCTACTTCTGTCTATGGCCTAAAACTCTCAGTTTTGAGAGGTGTGGGAGCAAAAAGCCCTAGCAACCGACCACCGTGAAATCGCAGAATATTTCAGCATGAAGTAGTCCATCAACAAAAATCGATGTATTTAAGTTAGCAATAGAAAAATTAGTCACACTTACCCCAATAACGGATCGACAGCAATTGCCCTCGGAAGACCCAAGTCTTTCCAAAAGAGAACTTTGCGATTGGATCCATCTAAATTCGCGACCTCTATTCTATTTGTTTCCCATTTCGCATCTCCATCGGTCCAATACAGTTTTCCTGCAATCCAATCTACAGCGAGTCCTTCGGGTTTTCCCAAACCCAACGAAACAACATCCTCGATTTCTCCTGTAGAGACGCGAATTCGCTTGATTTTTTCCAAGGTAACGTCGGTCCAAAATATAAATCCCTTTGTATAATGAAGGTCCACAGCGATGGCATCGTCCAAACCGTGAACAATGATAGTTTGGTTCTTGCTACTCGTCCAAACTTTTCTAATATCCTTTCGATTAACAAATAAAAGCCTTGGTGAATAAGCTGTGAGTCAGAAAAGAAAGAAATCTGTTAGCTTTAACGAAGTACGAAATAACTGAAGATACCAAGTTCTGCATTGTTAATCGAATCGAAAGCGGAAGCAATCAATTTTGATCTTGCTTTTATGAACGCACGTCTAATAAAGTTATCTCCAAAATTTCGCATATCCAGACCCAAAACTCAAAGGAAGAATACAATCAGCAAAGTTTCTATAAACGGGGATCATTACCCTCTCCTAATTCATCGCCAATGTTCTCCGAGGATTTGCTAAATGTTCTGTAAATAAACAGATAGCATAAGCTTACATCTTTTCCTAAGCAATGCACGTATGGAAAAAAAAAGATTATTCGAAAATCACGTAGTCTGACACTAAGTTAACCCATCGCTCTAGTATGTTTATGTAGAAAGCCTAGAATTAAGTTTTTTTCAGATTTAAATCATCTTGCAAATGGGATCAATCAAAAAGGTGAATTTGAAGGGTAAAATGGTAAACTCAACATTCAGAGTGTATTCATCGAAACTTAACGTGGCCATTAAGGATATTCTGCGCACTCTGATAACATACAACCACACAACAACACACAACAATCTTTATTGTGCTCTTAATACAAAAGTGTAGAGTCATAAAAAGTAAATAATTGTAAAAGAAAGAGAGCACAGCCACTCAGAAATAGCAAAAGCTAATCGCGCTGAGTGGCTGGGTCATGCGGGAAAGTAACTAGATATCAAAGTTGTTATAAATAAACAAATGCACACAAAAACACACAAATAAAAAATATTTAAGCTGTAATAAATAAACAAATACACAAACGAATAAACAAAGAAGCAAGACAAAACAACGGCTTTGCACACAGTTAGCTGCATATAAAGTACACCAATCAATATTTGGAGATGGCAGATTCTTTTAAAAGCTTTTTTAAAGCGAACACGACTCGCTGATTTTAGATCTTCTTTAATAGCATTCCAGAGTAAGCCCACTGAAACGGATATTAAATATTCCATAATTCGCCCTAACTTTCGGTAAATAATAAGACTTCTTAGAGGCCAGTCTTGTTGCATATTGATATACTTTATTAATGCTTTAAAGAAATTATTAAAAGTACTTGGAGGTCTATAATGCATAAAAAGAACACTGTCTAAATATATTAAATCCTTTAATTTAAGTAGCCACAACTTGCGAAAGAGAGGACTAGAATGAGAGCTAAAATCAGAAAAGGTTATTATTCTAGCTGCTTTTTTTCTGTAAAGTAGTAAGAGGCTGTAGAGAAGTTGGATATGTATTTCCCCTGCTAATTAAGCTATAAGTCAAAAAAGGATCAATAAGTGCGTAGTATACGAACAAGGACTTGTTGGCTAACAAAGTACTTAATTTTAAAAAGTATTCCAAGACTGCAAAATGTGGAACTTCCAACTATGGTGTGAGTCAATATGTAATCCTAAATATTTAATAAATTTTTCTTGTTTAATCTCTGCTTTTGGCAATTAATAATTTGACTACGTGACTTGTTGACTTTTGAGGGGGTGAAAAATAATGAAATTTGTCTTGTCGACATTTAATGAGAGCAGGTTTGCCATAACCCAGTTAGAGACAAGTTTAAGGTTATTATTAATAACATCCTCTAGTTCAGTCAGACTACGATTGGAATAAAATAAATTAGTAGCTGTCTTCTCGAGCGTCTCCACCCGACTTAGCAACTTGTTGAACTCTTCGCCATTAAAGTTCAGCGAGTTTTCGATAGGTTCAATTTTCGATGATAAGATCTTCTCTAACTCATCACCTGTAACGTATGCAGCCATAATTTTACGAAAACAACGAAAAAATAAAAAAAACCGCGACGAAAAGAGGCAAAAATTAATAGATTTCGACGCTATATCAAAAACTCGTCGATCTTACCATCTTGCTCGCTGACCGCTGACCACAATAAGTACAATACAATAACCTTTATTTAACGTGGTCAATGTTCTTAGCTAATTAGCTACTTTACAGTCATGCCAAGAAAAATAAATAAATAAAATAATAATGATAATGATAATAGTAGACTGAAGAAAGAAGATTCCTCATTAAAAACCTATATAAAATTATATTCACAGTTAAAAATTATTAAAACTAAGAGTACATCACGAGATTATTACATTATGTTATAAAAGCTAAGCAAAGTGTATTTACATCTATTAGCGCGATTAAAATGTAAAATTTGAGAAATCCAACTTTGACATCAAGTTCTTAAATGTTCCAATTTTATTAGCGGCACGAAACTGATCCGGAAGAGCGTTCCAAATCTTAGCTGCAGAATAACGTCACGATGTAAGTCCATGGGTGGTTATACTTTGGACAGCTCGAGGATGTGTTTTCCTCTAAGATTATAATTAGTTGTTCGTTGATGCAATAACTCTCCTATTCCTTTAGGGACTTTTACCCATGGATAGCTTTGTAAACACTGGTGGCCATTTTAACAATTATTTGATTAAGTGGGGACATCAGGTTTAGTTCTTTAAGCAACGTCTCGTATATTGTTGACCTGTCAAGGGTCACAAAGCGAGGAGCTCGTTTATTGATTTTTTTAGGTTTGCCGGAACCTCTTTTGCCACAGTGATGCCACGGTTCTGAACAGTAATTAAAATGCGGTGTAATGACAGCACGATATATATATGTCCTCAATTCAAACGGCAATATTTTCTACAGACGATTGAGAACAGCAACCTCTTGACTAACTTTGCGACAGATTTTACGCATCTGGCCCTCACATTTAAGCTTACTATCGGGAGTGACGCCAAGGAGTTCCAGTTCATTTTGAACAGGGATAACGGTTCCTTCACAGGTCAACACAGGATTTCTCTCGACCCCTCCAAAAGTAATTGCTTGATATTTTGAATGATTTCTCTTGTTTGATTGAATTCATACCACACATCAACCTTTTTTCAGATCGGCATTTAACCTGGTCGATATTTTCCGCAGACTTAAACAGTTGAGTGTCAACATAAGACAGCATAATTAAAAAGACAGGTCATTCATGAAAATATTAAAAAGAATGGGACCCAAAATTGATCCCTGGAAGACACCCTTCATTATTATTTCATAGAAGAGTATTGTCCACTCAACCTTACACGTTGTTGTCTGTCACTTAAATAATTCGTAAGGAGATTGATAACTTTTGAGTCTCTACCGTAATCTTCAAGCTTTTTGACAATAAGATCATGGGGAAGGGTGTCAAACGCTTTTGACAGGTCCATAGACACCAAACTAATAACTTTGTGATTATCTATCTTGAATTGTTCAGTTTGTTTGTTTGTTTGTTTGTTTGTTTATTTTTCCTCCATTTAATTATTTTACAAGCCATTAGTAGTAGACTAGGGTCAAAGATAAGCATCGTTGGTGGATAGGTAAGGATAGTTTAGGGATAGGTAAATCATTGATGTGGATAAGTGCCTAGTCTATGACGTCACCTCGGAAAGAAGTGCCTTCCTCCATACTAATTAAGTGCCTAGTCACTGCCTTCCCGCATACTAATTTGGATTTCCTGCATACTAATTAAGTGCCTTCCTCCATATATAATGAAGTGGATAGGTTTACTAATGAGCGTCACTCTACTACAAAAGGAATAATAGGCTTGCCTAAACTTGCCCGGGCTCTTTTAACCCTGATTGGCTCATGTAGAATCTATTATGTGT